CTTGAAAATAACTTTTAGTTTCTAATATTCTTTGTATATATATAAGAACTAAACAATAATTTATATAGTAGATTTAGGGATTCAAGGTTTGAGTCGATGAAGTGAATGCGATCCTTTTATTACAATTTAGCTTACTTAACCTCCTAATATCCTATCATACGGCTAAAAAAAAAATCTATATTATTACCCTTGTGTCATTTTGGTTCATATAATTTCAATTGATTCGATTTTGACCTTAAATTTATGACTTTATTTTCATTTGGTCCAATTAATTATAATTTTTAATATTTTTGATGAAAAATGCATACAAAAGCGGGATGTGCTATGTTTTTTTAGGTAAATTATAATCTTATTCAACTCAATGAGTAAGGTTGTTTTGCGCATCCAACAACTGAAAGAGTTTGCAAAAAATTCTAATCGACATTATTAATTAGTCTAAATTAACACAAAATTAAAAGTTAAAATCAAGTTAATTAAAATTACAGTAGACAAAATGACACAATAGAAACTAGTATACTTTATCTGAAAAAATAATGAGATATAGTATTTTTGAAAGTTAAATTAGCCCATTGGATTTTTATTATTATTATTATTTTCATAGCCATTGGGTGTCAATATCACACAACATGATAAACACAAAATTCCAAAGCAAGGCAATTTTAAGTTTGGAGTTAAAATCTAGGCTTCTTATTTGTCTTTTAGGAATGGATCATTAACAACTTCTGGCAACATAAGCCATTTTATGTATTTTGTGGTTGCATAAAGACAACCATAAACCATTGAATGAGGAATGACAATGAAGATATATTAGTTTAGTTACAAATGTTTCATTTCACTATAAACTCATAAATTATTTATAAAAATAAATAAATAATACATATAAATAGATAATATTTTACATTATTAATGAATGGAAATACCTTTCTTTTTTCCACAAAAAAATTCCCTTGTATGTATTATGTATCAGATTCTTATAATTAATTTTGTGTTCATAAACTTATTCTAAATATTTTAATGAAATTATAATAGTAGAGATAAAATTAAATCTTCATTACTCATCCGTGTTCACGCGGGTTAGAGACGTTCACGGTAAAAACAATATCACTTTCAATTGAGGTGAAAAACAACAGTAAAATCTAATGAGCCTTTTTGTTTTTGTTTTTGTTTTGTTTTGTTTTTTTTTTTTTTGCATGTTAGTTTTTTTTTTTTTTTTTTTTTTTTGCATGTTAGAATGGTTTGGACCCATCAGCCAATGTGATAAATTATGCCTGAAATCTTATAGAAATGGGAAATTCTATGATACTTATATGTTTTGTTATGATTTTTGTGATATTTGATTATTATTTATTATGATATTAAGGCCTAGTTTGGAAAGACTAAATAAGTGTACTTTTTGACTTTTTATGAAATATGGGTTGGGTTTGGGTTAGGTTTGAAGTGATGTGTTAGAGAGGTGATGTGACTTAAATAAGATGATGTAACTTAAATAGGATAGTAACTTTTTGACTTTTTGTCTTTTTTTAATCATGCCAAACTTGGCCTAATTATGATTTGATTATAGTTTATTGTAATATTAGTTATGATTCATTGTGATATTAGTTATAATATTATTTTAATTATAATTCAAAAAGTCTTTTACATATCTTGTATAGTGTTTGGTTATAATTTATTTTTTTTTAATTTAGTTAGAACTAAAAAATATCTAATTATGACATTTATAATAATCAGCACAACAAATATCATAACTTATATATGTATATAGTAGTATAATCCAAAATAGGAAATTACTCAAGTTATACGAGCTCAAATTATTCATGTTAGGTTCACATCCCTCTAGTACTAAGTAATAGGATAAAATAAATTTTTTCTAAATTTTAAAATCTAAAAATTCATATTATTAATAGATATCTTTATCATACATCTCAAAATTGAGAGAAAAAAAATTATAATACAAAATTATATGTATTTAGCACGAATTAACTGTTAATTTATTCATAAATCCTGCCAAATTAAGATTTGTGATGCAAAGGTACACGTGAGTACCCCCACACACTTGCTTAATAAATTATTTATGAAATATCTCAAAACACAAACACAAGTGAAGAAGCCAAAGCTTTGCAATGAGACAAGAATTTTCATTTTGGGCTGTATTAATATAAAAAAAAAATTTTTTTTTTTTTTTTTTTTAATCTTTGCCAATTAGGCATGTCGTCTTGATCAATGGCACTTTCAACCATCCAACCCCACCCACAAAAAAAAAAAAAAAAAAAAAAAAAAAAATCACCAAAGAAAAATTGATTGTGTTGTCTTGTCAAAATGTGACACAGTTAAACAAGACAATCCCAACGCTATCTTGCGCCTCCCTTACATAGCTAACTAGCTCAGTCTTCTCTTTGGAGCAATCATTCACATAATTTATTGTTACACACTTGTCACGTTATTTCTTAAACTTCATAAAAGATTTTATTTTTAATTTAAAAAGTTTATTAAAATATGAAAAAAAAAATATAAAAAATTACTCAGGTATCTTATTTGGAGAAATATTAATTAATTTAGGCTTAATTTGAAATACTATTAAAAAATCATAAAATTAAAAAATTATTAAAAATATTAAATTACCAAACACGCATAAGCCTTATTATTTTAACTAATAAATATCATATTAAAACACCATTTAAACTTATCCAAGACCAAATAATTTTCCAGTCTTATGGTTGTGGTGGTTGTTACTTCTTTTTGTTGTTGTTAAGCAAGTACCAGCATATGCCTTTATGTATCTATCTTAACTTCATTCTTCCCACTTTGTCCTTCCTGTTTAATGACGCTGCACGTTTGATTAATTTTTTCGGTGATATTATATGCATCAATTATGTATTAATTAATATATTAATTAGTATATTAATATTAATTATGATATTATTATTGACCTCACTTATTATATAAATTATAAATACTAAAAATCTCTTAAATTATGTCACATTATCAATTAATACACTAATTATACTAATTAGTACAAATAGTATTATTCTTCTTTTCTAGGATTGCCTATGAACAAACCATTCAATGTTTCCTATTTTCAAGATTTTTTTTTTAAATTAAAATCTTTTATTTTTCATATTTTTTTACTGAATTTTTTAAAATATTCTAAGTAATTTTTTTAGCTTTTAGCTGCGCCTCACATAAATACACTTAAAAATTATAATATCTATAAAAAAAATTAGAAAATTCACAAACTATCAAAAATACAAAAATAAAAACAAAAACAAAAACAAAAATTTAGTTCATTTTTCATATTCTTGTATATTTATTGATTTTTTAAAATATTTTTTTACAAATATTTTATTTTTTAAATACATCTAAGTAAAGTACATCTAAAAAAATAAAAATAAATTGTTTAAAATTTTAAAAATATTTATTAAAAAAAACGAAAAATAAAAAATTTAATTTTCAAAAAATTAAATTTAAAAAATTAAAACCAAACACGTTGCTTATTTTTTTTAAAAAAATATTTTATTTTTAACAAGGGTAATTAATCTATTGAGTATTGACAAGTAAGCATTTGTTTTTTAATAATACTATAAACTTATCCTTATTAATTCAAAATTTACTTAGAAAAAAAAAATCAATGACTCAGATTCATTTTATATATAAACCTCACACTTTATCTATTCAATCTTTACCGCACAAATATATTTAAGAAAAATTCAAGATCCGTAAAAGTGAGTTCTAACATTTTCCTTTATTTTTATTTTAAGGCAAAAATGCTATTTGGTTTAGAGCACTAAATCAAAAATAGAGCAAAGGTTACTGATACATTGATCCTATTTGGTAGAACTTATTTTCACTTTATTTCAGTTTTTAATTTAATTTAAATTATTAACAATATAGCTTATAACTTTTTATATGTTAAAAATCAATTTATTCATTGAATGGAAGAAGAGAAACTTAATTTATAAGTCAACAATCAATTTAAGTTCACAATTATAAATTATAAATTATTAGGTTATAAATTATAATCACTTTCCTCCGACTCTACCGAACAGGACCATTAGATTAACCAGCTCATAGTCTAGGATGAGTCTCGAAATCCTTTTTCTACATCCTCTTCCCGACGCAAAAAATATATATATTACGAAAAGATATTTTATCCGAAAAAAAACATTATGCTATTTTTCTTGTCAAATTAAGCTTTAAAAAAAAATCTCAATATCATTTTATATTAAAAAAAAGTTTAACAAAAACACTTGTTAAATCAAAATTTAATTATAAGAATTTGACAATATAACTTAACAAAATATAATTTTTTTAATATTGAAATTTCTACACCCACTGCTAGAAAAGTATTTAGAGCTTTTTCGATACTTCATCCCTTCTTTTATCAAATTTAAATTTGATAAAAAATTTATTCAAAAATTATTTCTTATCATTTCATCAAATATTACTCAAATTAAGAAAGAGTACTTTTATTTTTATCAAACCCTTCAAAAGATTGAAGTATTGGGTTGGAGATGGGGGTTTTTAATCAAATTTGATGAAAAGAGAAAAAAAGAGAACGAAAAAAAAAGTAAAAGATTTTTATAAAAAATTAGAGTAATTCATATGCAATCGAACTTTACTCAAATTTAAAATTAAATAAATGAAAAAAAATTAAATGCTAACAAAAACTGGTACGACTTACTATTGACCACAGCCTATATATACATGTCATACGGTTTACCAATACCATGTAAATTGCATTGATTATCGTTCTACTTCTAAATTTCTTACAACTACATCAATTTTGATGATAATTTTTTTGAACCTTGCATTTCATAGATGAATTTTCCAATTAAGAGAAAAAAATTCAAGAAGAGAACTTCGTTATACTTGACCATTCTTTGATTGAATTTTCTAATTTGATCTATTAATTAAAGCCTAAAATATCCAAATTGCTCAAAACTTAATCGAATTCATAGCTCAATTGTTTTTATTACTATGCCAATTCCAAAAAAAAATTTGGCTTTAGCAAATTTCTAATTTAAACTTAATTTATGAAATTAATAATTACGAAGCAACAGACAAAAATGTAATTTTAAAATTTTTATAAAAAAATTGCGTTATCCGTACATTTCGAAGGCTACTCGGGTATGCTAACGAGTACAGGACGCCACGCTCTTCTGAGCAATCGCTGCCGAAACGCCGCCGATAACGGCCGTAGCGATCGTTGTCCGACGCGCCGCCCAGCCACACCACCACCACCGGCGGCAACAGCGGTTGCCGCCGAAAACTCCTCTCCTACATCTCTGATCTTCTCCGTAGCCCTCTCTTCGAGCGTCGGCGAAGACACAAAAAAGTCCTTCAGCTTGTGGCTGACCACCGCCAACTCCTTGTTCTTTTCCGACGAATCAGCGGCGGCGGAATTCCTTTTCCGATCTGGCGATTCTTCGCGGCGGGGGAGACGGCGGCCGGTTCCGCTGCTGGCGCGGCTGAGCAGCATCCGTAGGGTTTTACGGCGGCGGAGGTGAATTACGGGGCTTGTTGTAGGGCTTCGTGTTGGACTACCGGCTACAGCGCACTGAGAAGCTAGAAATTTAAATTTCTGCAGAGTCGCCATTCTCGATCCGAAGCTGAGAAACCTCTATCTCAGTCTATGGCGTCACAAGGAACTCGTTTTTTTAGAGAGAGAAAGTGAGATCTGAGACTCTGATTTGTGGATTGGCCGCCATTAGATTCTTTGTTTCTTGTTTGGGACTGTTGAAGTGAAAGAAAGAGGGCGAAAGTAGAGAGAGACAGACAGAGAAATGAGGATTACTATTCTAGAGAGAGAGAGAGACAGAGAGCGTTAAAATAAATGGGAAGGAATACGGAGGGTTTTCTTTACAGGAATTTCGGTCGTCTGTTTGGGTCTTTTTAGGCTTCACGATTCATCTAATTTTTTGAAAACATCACAGGCTTACACGTGGCGATCGCTTTCGATTTTGTATCTTTCTTTGATGATGATGCTAATAAAAACACAAACAAACTCCTATTTAAATTTTGAATTTTATTTTTTATATAGTTTGCCGTCCATATTTGATTTTTAAGTTTTGCGTTTACCTCTCAATTATCATTCAATATAAATTAAATTATTCCTTTTAAAATTGTATATCTAGCTTTTTCAACACCAAAAAGAATTTTAAAACATTTTTTTATAGTTGAGTACTAAGGCCTAGTTTGGCATCTCTAAAAAAATTTAAAAAGTCAAAAAGTTACTATCTTATTTAAGTCACATCATCTTATTTAAGTCACATCACTTCTCTAATACATCACTTCAAACTCAATTCATACCCAACCCATATTTCATAAAAAGCTAAAAAGTGCACTTATTTAGATCATTCCAAACTACTCCTAAATGTAGAATTTTAAAATTAAATTTTTTTTATGAATAATAATTATATATGTTGATTAGAAATGACGAAGTGAAATTTGTTGAGATCACCATATATAAATCTATATCTATCTACCTATTTAAATGGGTGGTCAGAAAGTGAGTTTTTTTTTTAAGTTTTTTTAGTTGTATGATGTTGTTGGAGAAAGAATTTTTTGTGTTTAGAAAGGTAGTTAAGTTTTTTTTGTAGTTGATGTGATGTTTGTGAGAGAAAAAGTAAAATGATTATGGAGTTTGATGTGATATTTTGTTTGGATTTGTTTTTTTTATTTTGTAACCAATTTGTCTTTTAGTGAAAAAATCAAAACAAAAAAACAAAAAAATATATTTCCAAACACCGCCATATATCTATATCTATCTATCTATTTATATATATCTATACTATATATTAAGTAAAAGGGGGTTTTTAACCCCAAGCTTTGTGGGAGTTCTAATCTCCCAATCTAAATTTCTTGATTTTTTTATTTACAAAAAAAAAAAACTTGGCATTTATTAATTAGCATTCATTAATTTCTCTCAATTCTAAGTCTTATCCTTATAATAACACTTTAATGTATTAAGAACAATCATAAAAAAAATTCTTTGAAATCCAACATATATGAATTCATTGAAAAGTCTCAACACATGTGATTATTATCTCTCATAATAATACTTTAATGAATTAAGAACAAGCATAAAAAAAATTTCTTGAAAAATCCAACACATATGATTATTATCAAAATATTAAACTTTAATATAATATAATAAATAAATAAAAAGACATTTAATTCTTTGAAAAGTCTAACACATATTATTATTATCAAAATATTAAACTTTAATATAATATAAAAAAAGAAAAAAAAGAAGACATTTAAAAAAAAAAGGCATTTAAAAATCACAATTCACATATATAGATAATTGTAAACACAATTCGTAAGCAAAAAGGGATTTTTAACCCTCAAGTCTTGTGGGAGTTTCAATATGTCAATCCTAATTTTCTAATTTTTTGTTTTTTTAAAAAAAAAATTAACCTCAGCATTTATTAACTTCTCTCAACCCACAAGACTTTTTGACTTCTCTCATAATTACTGCAGTAACTTTTCCAAAACAAATAATTTGTATATTAAAACAAATACAAATATCTATATCTATATCTATCTCTAACCCACAAGTTTTGTGGGAGTTCCAATATCTGAATCTTAATTTCTTAATTTTTTTTTTATTTTTTTTGAAAAAAAAAAAACTTAGCACTTATTAAATTCTTCCAAGTCTTTTTAACTTATCCGATACACACACTCTTTTTAACTTTTCACATACTTATTGCAAACAGTGAGTCTCCTTTTTGTATTCTCCTTCTTGACTTCTCACTTTTACACTTTCAACTTCAGTGACCACGTATGCAAACAGTAAGTCTTCTTTTTATTTTCTCCTTCTTGACTTTTCTTTTTTTTACTGTTTTAATATTGTGGTTAGATAGCGCATAAAAATATTTGTGATTTGTTTAGCGAATAAAAAATTATAATTTGATAAACAGTAAGTCTTCTTTTTGTTTTCTCCTTCTTGACTCTTCATATTGTTTACTGTTTTAATATTGTAGTTAGATAGCGCATAAAAATATCTGTGATTTGTCTAGCGAATAAAAAATTATAATTTGATTTTTTAATATGATTGAAGTTAGATAAATATAAACCCTCACAAAAAGAAAAATGTGATTATAATTAGTTAAATGATTCTTTTTTTTTAATGTGATTGTAGTGAGCTTAATAGTTCTTTTTCTTGATTTATTTATTTTATTATGTGAAAAATATGATGTGATTGTAGTTTGTTTAATGGCTCTTTTTTTTTAATATGATTGTTATAGTTAGTTCAATGTTTTTTTTTTAATGTAAAAAACTTAGCACTTATTAAATTCTTCCAAATCTTTTTAACTTCTCTGATACACACATTTTTTTTAACTTTTCACATACCTATTGCAAACAGTGAGTCTCCTTTTTGTTTTCTCTTTCTTGACTTCTCACTTCTACACTTTCAACTTCAGTGACCCCGTATGCAAACGGTAAGTCTTCTTTTTATTTTCTCCTTCTTGACTTTTCTTTTTGTTTACTGTTTTAATATTGTAGTTAGATAGCGCATAAAAATATTTGTGATTTGTCTAGCGAATAAAAAATTATAAATTGATAAACAGTAAGTTTTCTTTTTGTTTTTTTCTTCTTGACTCTTTCTTTTGTTTACTGTTTTAATATTGTAGTTAGATAGTACATAAAAATATTTGTGATTTGTCTAGCGAATAAAAAATTATAATTTAATTTTTTAATATGATTGAAGTTAGATAAATATAAACACTCACAAAAAGAAAAATGTGATTATAATTAGTTGAATGATTCTTTTTTTTTTTTAAATGTGATTGTAGTGAGTTTAATAGTTCTTTTTTTTAATTTATTTATTTTATTATGTGAAAAATATGATGTGATTGTAGTTTGTTTAATGGCTCTTTTTTTTAATATGATTGTTGTAGTTAGTTCAATATTTTTTTTTAATATTATTTAATCTTTTTATTTACTATTTTAATTTTATTTTTGATTTTTTAAAATGATTAAGGTTAGATAAATATAAACCCTCACAAAGAGAAAAATATGATTATAATTAGTTGAATGATTCTTTTTTTTTAATGTGATTGTAATTAGTTTAACAGTTTTTTTTCATTTATTTATTTTACTATGGGAAAAATATGATGTGATTATTGCAGTAACTTTTTCAAAACAAATAATTTGTATATTAAAACAAATACAAATATCAATATCTATATCTATTTATTTATTTATATCTATCTCTAACTCACAAGTTTTGTGAGAGTTTCAATATCTGAATCTTAATTTCTTAATTTTTTTTTTTTTTTGAAAAAAAAAAAACTTAGCACTTATTAAATTCTTCCAAGTCTTTTTAACTTTCCCAATATACACACTCTTTTTAACTTTTCACATACCTATTGCAAACAGTGAGTCACCTTTTTGTTTTCTCCTTCTTGACTTCTCACTTCTACACTTTCAACTTCAGTGACCACGTATGCAAACAGTAAGTCTTCTTTTTATTTTCTCCTTCTTGACTTTTCTTTTTGTTTACTGTTTTAATAATTCAATGACTCTTTTTTTTAATATGATTGTTGTTGTTAGTTCAATGTTTTTTTTTAATGTTATTTAATCTTTTTATTTACTATTTTAATTTTATTTTTAATATGATTGAAGTTAGATAAACATAAATACTCACAAAGAAAAAAATGTGATTGTACTTAGTTCAATGATTTTTTTTTTTAATGTGATTGTAGTTAGTCAATGGTTCTTTTTTTCATTTATTTATTTTTGTTATTATGAAAAAAATGTAATGTGATCGTAGTTTGTTCAATGGTTCTTTTTTTTAATATGATTTAATCTTTTATTTACTGCTTTAATAGTTTTTCTTTACATTATTTGTGAAAAAAATATGATTGTAGTTAGATAGCATAAAAATATTTGTGATTTGATTTGATTTTATTTCTGATTTGATTTTTAAAGTACCAATTATTGATAATGATTAGATTATATTTTGAAAAAAAAAATTGTAATTGATTTTTTTAACTCACTGTATTTTTTGAAAAAAAATTATTGTGTTTTTTTAAACTATCAATTCACTTAATTTGTCATTTGATTTTTAACTCACTTTAATATGATTGAAGTTAACTCACAAAAAGAAAAATGTGATTGTAGT